AAGATCCCATTCCTCCCATTCCTTTTCAGTATAATACTATATCAGTTCCACAGTAAAAATAAAATTCCTAAGTATTATTTTTTTTAAAAAAAATATTGTAATTTCACCACAAATTAATGTAGACTTTAACTTTTACCCCCCAAAAAACGTTGATATAGAAGAACGTATTAAATGTCCCTCCTGCTCTTTTCTTCTGTCATCAGAAAAGAACAATTCTGCTTGGAGTCAGCTCTAATGAAAGTAGAATAATTCAAGTTGCCTTAGCTTTCTTAATAATACGTAGTTCAGTGCAATTGTTTCCATGAACAATTCCAAAAGTGGAAGAAATGGAAACAAAAAAATTTAATAGCAACTTTAAATTGAGCAATTTAATGAGCTCAGTTTTAAAATAAACTATTGATTTAAAGACAATGGAAAAATCTTGTCTCCAGGGTATTTGTTTCTTTAAGTTAATAATGTCCTTCCATAGGACAGGTTGAACATGAGCCTTCATTCTGGGCAACAATAATAAGCCTGTGGGATAATATGTGAAAATGTGAAAAAATTACCATGGAAATCATATGTTGCAGCTAACAGTACAACCCATACTTCCTGCTGGAATAACTACTATAAGGACAATGCACAAACAGCGTGGGATTAAATTTGAGATTATATAGCCAAATATGATGTTGATAATAAATTCACTATGTTTCTCAGCACAATTGTAAAAATCCACTGTATAATTAAATCACTTGTGCTGAAATTCTGAAGGTAGACAAGAACTATACAATATGTCACAATAGTGGTAAATAACAATTAGTATTGTAATATTTTTTTCAGCTGGTTCTTTGGAGTTGGATAAATAATGATTTATTTGCTTGCAGTAGATTTTAATTTTTTTATATTCTGCATTTTATACTTTTATAGACTGTTAGCCGACTCAAATATCTTATGAAATCACAATACTACAATTTGCTGATTTCTACTTTACAATATATATAGAATTGTCTGTAATATTAAAAAATACTACTTCCCCCCATTCAGGTCATGTTATGGAATTATAGAAGTTGTTAACCAACCCATTTCAAGAGTACTAAGCTGGGGAAGATGAGCTAGTTTATCCTTGGGATGAACAGGGATGAACAATGGGAAAGCAAAGATTTTTTACAGAAGTTGAGGGCTACAAGGTGGGAAATCCTAGGAATCTCATTGGCTAGTCTGTTTGGGGAAGCTAGGCAGGTCACTGCCAGTGCACCTGATGGAATGTTGAGGTCATCAGCTGATACAGGATGGAAGGTTGGAGTTGCTCTATTTTCAATTTCCTTCTTAGGGCTCTCCTTGAGCTGCTAAGAAGGCTTCTCTTCTTTGGTTTAGATGAGATTGCCGGGTGTGTGTGTGTGTGTTCTGGGGCAGGGAGGGTCAATTTCAATCTGATAAGCAAAAAGATGAACAGAATTTGACAAGGAGAAAAGGATGCAATCTCACTTTTGTTTGCTTGGTATAGGGCAGTGGTCTGCAACCTTAAACACTCAAAGAGCCATTTGGACCCATTTCCCACAGAAAAGAAAACACCGGGAGCCACAAAACCCTTCCTGTGCCTATTTCTTGAGCGGCCACAAAACTAGCATACGTAGTTGAATTAAATGTTCTGTTTTCTTCTGAAACTTTTCTTTTCTTGGATTATTCATGGTTGGCCTACCGGGGGTTGAAAAGCTCAATTAATCATGTGCCGGTGGGTGACGCACATTGCCAGTTGTGATGCATATTTTGAGTGACGGCAGCAGAGGGGTGAAAGAGCCACATGCGGCTCCAGAGCCGCAGGTTGCTGACCCCTGGTTTAGGGTTTATACGTAAAAAAATTTGTCTACATTAACACGTAGTATCATAAACACACTGCAGCACAAGGAGGGAGGAGCTTGAAGCTGCAACCAAAGGGATGAAAGGTTCACATACACACATCTACTTGCTTTTATCACTTACTGACTGGCATAGCTTAAATAGAGTTAGAAAATCAAACCTGGGTCCTTTACAAGCATTTAACCAATCTGGGAAGGCTCCCAATGAAATGATTGACATTCATAGATGGATACGAGGAAAAACTCAACACTTAAGTCCACAGCCTCCAATAATCAGTGCAAAACCATTCATAGGCATTTCCTTAGCAGCAGATTTATCCCATTTAAGTAGCAGCTTAAGGGCCCTGCTGTTTGCCTAGACTTCTCTGAATACATACTGCCAGTTATATTGTCGTCATTCTTCAGAACTTTTGACAGGTTCCCAAGGGAGTTTGGAAAATAATTTTATTATTCTTTTTCTGCCTGAAATATCCTTGAAGCAAAAAAAAAAAATCCCCACATTGTCTTAGATATTAATCTCAATGGAATGTGTGTCTGTCTGTGTGCATGCACGGATATACATTTTTCAGGGAAGAATGTGTGATAAGGCATGAGGTGATGCATTTGGAAATGTGGAGTGACATATGCACTGCAGACAGAACTTCAGCTGTGATACATTTGAGAGAGAGAGAGAGAGAGGGAGGGAGGGAGGGAGGGAGGGAGGGAGAGAGAGAGATGGCCAGAAACCCTGATGTTCACCAAAGGAGCATGAATTCACATTTGGCATTCACAGCAGGAGTTTTAATTATACCAACTATCTCACAATCATGCTTATCATGGCTGTTGCAAAGATGGAGAGATAAGTGGGATCTAATATAGTATTCTTATCAGCCAAAGATAAAAAAAAAGGAAATAAACAGAAATATAAAGCATCCTGCCTAACATCACAAAACAGTGGTAATGGATAAAAAAAAAAAATCTTCAGTAGCCCTAGTTAAAGCTCTGCTCCAGATTCCTTTTTTCATTTTTAGATGCAGTCCTCGACTTATAATTAAAATTTAGTGACCATCTGAACTTACAACAGCACTGAATAAAGTGACTTTTAGCCATTTTTTACACTTAATATCACAGCATCCCCATGGCCACATGATCGTAATTGAGATGCTTCAGTGGTGGGTTTCAAATTTTTTTACTACCAGTTCTGTGGGTGTGGCTTGGTGGGCGTGGCATGGCTTGGTGAGAGTGGGTTGCTGGGAGTGGTAGGGGAAGGATACTATAAAATCTCCATTTCCACCCCACTCCAGGGGAAGGTTACTGCAAAATCCCCATTTCCTCCCAATCAGCTGGGACTCGGGAGGCAGAGAATAGATGGGGGTGGGGCCAGTCAGAATTTTTACTACCAGTTCTCCGAACTACTCAAAATTTCCGCTACCGGTTCTCCAGTACTGGTCAGAACCTGCTGAAACCCACCTCTGAGATGCTTGGTAACTGACATATATTTATGTCAGTTACAGTGAAGCCAGATTCACTTAACAACCATGTGACTAAATTAACAACTGCAGTGATTCACTTAACAACTGTGTCAAGGAAGGTCGTAAAATAAGGAAAACTCACTTAACAACTCTCTTATTGAGCAACAGAAATGTTGGGCTTAGTTGTGGTAGTAAGTCATGTGTGGTGCTTGTTCCAAAAACTCAATGCTAACATTTCCTTAAGTATGTGATGAATCAGAATGGGAAAAGAATGATTTCTCCCTTCCTCTCCTCAATCTCTGCAGGCAGGAGAGTCAAGGAAGACACATTCAGTTTGTTTAAAGCGAATTTATCTGATCTGGACACTTGGTTTATACATTGGTTTATATGGCCTTGTTTTCTCCCAACTTCAAGCTCTCTTAACAGGTCTCCCAGGTTGAAAATCAGTCTCTGAATATACTCTGAGAAAAATGCCAAAAAAAGAGTGCCTTAGGAGGGGGAGCACTGCTGGAAGGATCAGAGAACATCTATCTAAACAAAAAATCCTGCATGAATTGGTCTCAGAAGAGTGCCTTCATTCTCTAATATTTACAAAACGTTATTAGCTGCACCTGGCATAGAACTACCTAAGTTGCTACCCATGTTTCCCTGAAAATAAGACCCTGTCTTATATTTTTTTGAACTCTGAAATAAGTGCTTGGCCTTATTGCCATGCACTCAAAAGCCCGATTGGGCTTATTATCAGGGGATGTCTTATTTTGGGGGAAACAGGGTAGCAGGGGCACTGTGGAATACTAAACTGGATAGTTGTTAAATCCATTAAGAACCCATATCAAGCTTTTTCATTCTGGAGCGGAAATCATCATAAAAAGCTTGTTGAAAACTGAACCGATTCAAGGTAAGCACATAGATAATTATGTAACATCCTCACTGACAATACTTTAGCTGTCATATTTGTGTCCTGACTGAGAGAGGAAATCATGTTATTAGTGCAGCCTACTGAAGATGCTGCTGCTATGATTTTTTTTTTTAAAAAAAACCCTTGCCAAGCCAAAATAAAACAATGAATATCTAACTTACTGCAGCAGAAGAAGGAGGATAAATAAATTAATCAGGCCTTTTAAAAAAAGAATATTTTCCTAAGTATAGATTTACAATTTACAAACCCACTATTATGAAAAGAAACACTTGATGCTATGTGCAAAAAAAAAAAGAGCCTTTTAGATAATGGAGTCTGGTGTTTTGTTTTGTTTTACTCCTAAATTCTTTGTTAGATGAAACAACTGTGATATATTTACAGCAGTACATCATGCAAATTCTCAAATAGAGGTGTCTTTCTCCCCTATTCCAAGGTCAAACAAAATGGAAGTTCTACCAGATTTCTGAAAAATGAAAAAGGATCATGTGAATTTTTATGGATTTTGTATCGAAGCCACCAAGAATCTTAGTTGTCCGTCTTATTTATTTATTTGCTTATCACAATATAGATATAGACACCCATCTCAACTCCAGGTGTTGTACTAATCCCAAAAACAGATAAATAATTGTTTGTACAAGCAGATAACTTCAGGAAAAACCTATTATAGATAAGGTTGTTATATAAAGGCTGCTACAAAATTTTTCCTAGGGCAGTTATTTTTGCCCAATTACTTTCTTATGTTGTTTGTTAAATATGGATCCAAAATTCCTGACTCTAAAGATTGCATGAACTTACCCTAAAGCAACATTGCTTTCATCCTCCTCCTTCAAGCAGGGAAACATTTTGAGAGACACTCAAGAAGCACAGTTCTTAATTTGGCAGTATATTTTCTGCAAGGAAATAAAAAATACAGTATCTTAAGAATTCATACTACACCACATAAACACAACTTCAAGTTGATTTGACTCAAACCATGCAAACAATAAATTAAATTTCTCTGAGCATTCCAAACTTAAGTTCGGCAACTTTTTAGGTATTGGATGCTCTGTGCTCCACTCTAAAAAAAAAAAAGAAGAAATCATACAAAAATTTGCAAAATCATCGAATCCTGTGAGATGTCAATGATTTTGCTTGACATGTCATTAGATGTAATGATGTAAGAATGTTGCCTTTTTAAAAGGTATAGATAGATTCTGTTTCTATGTATGTCAAAACTGCAGGAACTAATCTAGGAAGTCTCCAGAAATAAATAGGGACTTGAACACATGTCATTTGTAGTTCAAAACTGGTTGATCTGGTGAATGACACATTTGTCAGCAGGAACAGTTATTCCCTAGGTCAGTGATGGTTAACCTTTTCTGGACCAAGTGCCCAAAACACACGTGCAAACCCCCAAAATGCAATATGGGTGTGGCCCCCATGTATGTGGCCGCCCCCGCATGCGCGCATGGCCCCCCGTATGCACCTCACGTGCCCCATCCTCCACACATGCGGAGCACCTGTGGAAAACCTGTGCATGCACATGCGCGTACCCCCCACAAGCGCCCCACCCCGCACATGCACAGCAGAGACCCAAAAACCAGCTGACCAGTGGGAGGCGTGCACGCATGTGCAACAAAGCTGAACTGGGGTCATGTGCCACCAAAGAGGGTGCTGTGTGCCACCTCTGGCATTACGTGCCATAGGTTCGCCATCACGGTCCTAGGTGAAATATTATTGCTGCTCTTCAAATGCTAACCCTTTACCAAAGATTCAAGGCAACTAATAATCAAAATTGAAAATAGTATACAAATGTAGTAAACAATAAATAACATTAGTCTTGAAATCTCAGAAACTTTAAAAACTCAAAGCAACCAGTTTAAAATACATTGAGAAATAAATTGTTTATAATTATAGGTTCTTCGGCAGAATCCTTCCTTCCCCCTCATCAGCTCCAGTGTGGCAATACTGAAGCTCCAAGATGGCTTCGGTCAGGTCAACTTCAGGGTTGACACTTGCTCTCTTACACTTACATATAAAGCAAAATGTAACTCTAATGGTGTGTGTACAGTATATCTATGCAGACACAGTGGATATACAATGGTTTTAAAAGAACCTCACACTAAACCAGGCTATTCTGGATAACCCCGTTTTATTTTGAGGTATTGAAACAGGATTTCCCTCCTAACTGCAAAGATGAATTGGTATCTTCACCAACCTTTCTGATACATGTTGTATTTGGATGAGTTACAGAAAAACACACAGGCAGGAAAGGATTAGTTTACATCACTCCTGACATCTGGAGCCTTCTAGACTAGACTTGCAGACAGGTTTATTTGTATTGGCAAAAGTAACTCATAACTAGAAAATTTGTAAATAGAAAATTCTGCGAAGTCTATCCCAGGAGCTTTTCTTGAGAGAGAGATATCATGGAGTGAAATCTGATTGGAGAAGGTAACTTAACAGATCTCTAATTGCCAAGCCATAAAAGCCTTCATAGGTTAAAATTCACATTTTGAATTGTACCCAAAAACCAATGTAGGACTTGCAAAATTAATATAATGGAATCATAGTACAGAGAGTATATGTGCCTCTACATGTATGAAAGACAGTAGAATAGAATAGAATAGAATAGAATAGAATAGAATAGAATAGAATAGAATTCTTTATTGGCCAAGTGTGATTGGACACACAAGCAATTTGTCTTGGTGCATACGCTCTCGATGTACATAAAAGAAAAGATACATTCGTCAAGAATCATAAGATACAACACTTAATGATAGTCATAGGGAAACAGTCAATATAAATCTTAAGGATACCAGCAACAAGGTTACAGTCATACAGTCATAAGAGGAGATGAGTGATAGGAACGATGAGAAGATTAATAGTAATGCAGATTTAGTAACTAGTTGGAGGAGGGGTTGAGCAACTGTCTCATAATTGTTCTTCTTCTAGGAATTTGACAAAGAAAATAAGGAGCCAAAATGTTACATAAATTTGATGCTCCAGCATATTGGCCTTGCAACCGATGGATTGTTATTATTTATTTATTTTATTTTATTTGTATCCTGCTTTTATTATTTTTAAAAAATAACTCAAGACGGCAATGCTTTTGGACTGAAGTCAATTACTATTGCAAAACAGGCAATAACAATTATTGAGCACGTGGATTTTTTCTTAATCTTTGCCAATATTAACGAAAAAGCATTTGTTGTTTAGCCAGATGTATCTGCATTTCATATTACCCCTACATAAGTCATTTTCCAATCCAAGGAAAAGGCTTACAGTGATTTACAGACTAGAACTTAGAAACAATTTGTAAAGAGGAAGGAAAAGAAAAGAAAAGAAAATGATTTGATCAATGATCGGAACAATGAAGAGAATTCAACTACAAAATTATACAACAGTAACAAGAGCATAATAAGGTTATGTAGATTAAAAAGCACTCTGTTTTCTCTTCAAATCGTATAAATGTAAAAACTATAACAGAACATGTAACAAAATTTAGAACAAGGAGAAAACAATTTCATAAAAAAGTAGTTTATAAAAAGGGAAGATTTATGCATATTGTAAAAGCTTTCAAACTATTACTTTCATGCTATTGCTGCTAAAGAATGAGTAGTCAGACCTGCTACACAATTATGCTTATTTTCCATTATCCCTGCTCACATTTTCTTGCAAAACAAATCTTTATTTTTAAAAATTTTCCAGAAACGGGGGAAAACATTCTTTTTCAGTTCACTTTTTAATGCATAATTCCATAATGGTCTCTTCCTCCAAAACAAATGGTTGTTTTATTATTTTAAATATTGTTTATCATTGCGAGAGTGGCTCTTCACTATTTTATTGCTTTATAATTCTGTGTCCTTGCAGTTGCTAAGGGCACCTTAGAGATAAACCAAGCGATGGGTGGGACTTTTTAATGTACACTATATATTAGTAAAATATTTCAATCGGTATTCATTGAAGCGTATGTTCAAAGAAGATGCAAAAGGTTGTAGTAGCAGGCATTATAAAAATGTCTGGGTATGATGCACCAAAGAGATCTGGGGTAGATTATAGACACTTTAATATAAATAAAGGGATTACAGAGACAGGAAGGAAATTAAAAAGAAAGGAGACTTGGATGTTCCAGTGGTACAAAGTCAGAGAGACATACAGTTAATATTTTATCAGAGATCTATTAGGTGTCGAATGGCTGAGGAAGAAAACTCACACAGAAATGAATAGAAAACATTAACTCCCTTCAGAAAATGCGGTACAGTCGTACGTAGAGAGGGTCAGCTTTAATAGATTGCAAGAATACAGATTTTTTTCTAGCCCTGCCTAGTGTTTGGACAGAAGCCAAGCTTCTGAAGGGTCTTCCCTGTACAACAGCTTCATAACTGCTCTAGAAAAATAAACAGGAATCTCTGTATGTCTGCCTGCTTGCCAGCTGCTAATTCAAAGAGAAACAGAAGGATGGCTGAGAGCCAGATTGCTAAACTGCTGAGTGACGGATAGTGCTGGAATGCGGAAATGGGATGGAGGTGTCTGGAACATTTGAATCTAGAACAGGGGTGTCAAACTCGATTTCACTGAGGGCTGCATCAGGGTTGTGTTTGACCTCAGGGGATCGGGGTGGGCGTGGCCAGGGTGGGCGTGGCCAGCTTGACATCACTTGTGTCGTGGGCGCCTTTGGCGGCCCAAGCGTTCTGCCAGCAAAAATGGGCTCCCGAGCTCCATTATTGGTTGTGACGACCTCCTACAAACCTTTGCCAGCGAAAACGGAATTCGGAAGGGCCATACATTGGTCCTTTGCTGTTTCCAGGGTGGCACCGCGGCCAGTTGTAAGCACCCCGTGAGCCGGTTCAAGCCCGTGGGCCTTGAGTTTGACACCCCTGATCTAGAAAATAGAAGTAGTCCTTGATTTACAACCATTTGTTTAGCAACTCTTCAAAGTTACAACAGCACTGAAAACAGTGACTTACAACCAGTCTTCACATTTACAACCACTGAAGCATCTCAATGGTGACGTGATCAAAATTTGGGTGCTTAGAACATGTATTTACAATGGTTCTAGTGTCCTGGAGTGATTGCCATCACTGGAGGTTTATGACTGGGAGGCTATAAGGCTCTTGCCTTAAGCAAGGGGTTGGACTAGACAACCTCTGAGGTTCCTTCCAGTCCTATAATTCTATGATTTGCAACTCTCTCAGTCAACTTCCGACAAGCAAAGTCAGTGGGGGAAGCCAGTTTTGTTTAAAGATGGCATGATTCACTTAACAATTGCAGTGATTTGCTTAACAATCACAGCACAAAAGGTTGTAAAATCAGGCAGGACTCACTTAATGACCGCCTTGCTTAGCAACAGAAATTCTGATCCCAATTGTGGTCGCACCTCAAGGGCTACCTATAACAGTCTCTTAAAATATTATGTGGGATAGCCTGGAAGGTAACTCAGTCATCATGGGACAGACAGAAAGAAGCAGAATTCAGCTCTCATTTGAAAGCTATATGCAACAAAGGAAAAATAGTGTATGTCAGTCATAAGAGGTGACATTTACATCCAAGGGAATCATCCTTCTGAAATATCCAGAGAGAGAAGGAAACCAAACTCCTAAAGTAGGCTAACAAAATATTGAAGAAACAGACCATGGAAAGTGACAGCAGTTTAACATTTAAATAGGAGGGGAGTCAGCAATGAAACCAAAAATTGGACATTACTTAAAGTTGATTTACCAAGCTTAGAAAATAAAATAAAATTTAAAAACAATTTAAATAAAATAAAATAAATAAAATAAAATAAAATAGCCTGGCTAGGTGGCTCAGTGGCTAAGATGCAGAGCTTGTGGATTAGAAAGGTTGGCAGTTCGGCAGTTCGAATCCCTAGTATAGGTCTCCTGCGTGAGCAGGGGGTTGGACTAGATGA